CCCCCAATTCTACTAGTGGAGCTGCTTGAGAGTCCTTACCAAACCTGGTTTCCAGTCACTGGGGTGGTGGAAAGAGGCTTTCCCTCCAGTGTTAGAGTGACTTCCTCCACTCTTGGAGAAGAGGGCAAAATTGGGGGCCCTCCTACCTAACTCCCTAGATGTTGTTTTTTTTTGTTTAGATATCAGTAGGAGTGGCACCAGCCTACACAGGAGCTTTTCATTAATACCATAGAATTCCACTATAATTTATAAAGCTTAGTAACTAAGATGTATTTTAGTCTAATAAAATATGAAATTTCGAGCAGACTAAAGACACACCCTACCTTGTTGAAGTATTGGTTCAAAATAAAGAAATGGCATCAATCCCATTAAAATGGCTAAGAAAGCCACTAGGGGGACATTCTGAACTTCCGATCGGTTATTCATGTCATATATAGAAGTAAGTGTATATCAGGGAGCATTTCAAAAAAATGGAAAGAGGTGGGCAGGGTGTCACTGTGTTTGATTTATTACATGAGCAATATCTTATCAAATTGAAAAGATGAGAGGCTATTATTTTATATTCTAGCTTGTCAATATTGGTAATTTGAATTTTTAATTCATTCGAAACTACAGACTTAGTATTTTGACTTCACAAACATCTAATTTGAACCAATGCTGCATTCAACTTACCACGTGACACACAAAAATTGATGTTTATCTGTTTTTTTAATATTTGCTTTTAAATTAAGAAATTGAGTAATATATGGTAATAAAATTTAAATTAGAATCTACATTTTGATACCAAACTTACTAACATAAATTCATGAAATAGTAGTTCAATAAAATTTTGAATGGGAGTCAACAAATGAGGTGACATAGCCTTTCACCCGTGACCCATCTCGAAAGGGTTAAGATCCTATTTAGTGTGATGTTTTAGCTCTAAAATGAGCTTAGTTCTATAAGTACTTAATCTTAACATTCTTTTTGAGTTTGGAGGGTTTCTATAAAAACACTGTTAGCCCTTTTGCAACCATGGGGAGTAGCACCTTAATCATTATATTTCATTCCAAAAATAAAACTTGTGGATTAAATTGTTTCAAATTTGTCAAGAACATTCCTTAAAGTATGTAATTTCAGAAAAATAAAACATTTAATTTTATTATTTTCTACTGTTTCTCGTTTATTCCAGTCTTTTATACATCCACTAAATTACCTTTGGTGATATTTATCTCATGATACTCTCCACCTACATCAATGCGCCCTCTATCCTTTTATTACTTTTTTGAGAGGAGGTAAGCATTATTCAAAAAAAACATTTTTAATTTAAGAAAATTTAACTTCCAAAACATACATACCTCTGCTCCCACTTATAGCTAGAATCCAACATTGATAAGGTGGAGAAGCCGGTGAGGGCATTATCCATACAGAAAGCATCTGCATAGATCATGGGTGTGTCCACAGAAGATTGGCACCCTAGTGGGGGAACTGCACTACATTCAGAACAGGCATGCTCTTCACCCAGAATTGAATTCCTGTATTGTGGGTGGAATTTTACATGAGTTATCATCACTATAGGCCAGCCCCAACCAGATAGCAGAGGTTCCACTACTTGGGGATGAAATTAAGGGGTCATGGTCCCTATATTCCATGTTGGTGGCGAGAGCAATTGGATTGCAAATATCGTATATATATACTTATGAGTGGACCCTCTCCCATGAACAATGTACTGAACCAATAATGATCAAAGAAAAGGGCCATGTACACCCCAACCGGATAGCTAAGCATCAAATCTGAACCAGTATTATGAGTGTAATTTATGATTTTTAGTTATTCAAATATATATATATAAAAACCTAAAAAAAAAATATTTTGTTTCATATACTCCATGTGCAAATTTAATAAAGGCTTAGCAACCTACATCAAGCAGGAACTGAGTACAAAGGTCATAATTAGAAGAGACAATTGTTTCTGATACATAAAAGTATTTTTAATTATAAAATGAATATTAGTTTGCTGGATAGATAGGCAAAATGCGAAAAGAAAACAAAAGACATGAGAAAAACATAGCTTTATAAACCTTAAAAAAATTAATATTTTGCGTATGAAAGCATTGTAATGTTTACTGATAATCTGCCAAATTTCACTTATTAATTTAAAAGTTATAGCATGAAACTAGAACAAGCACAAAATGGTTATGATGGCAGTCCCAGGGACCAAGCATGTGCTGAAAAGAGTTAATGCATAAGAATAAGAAGAAAATGCTACTACATGTGCTATAAAGTGAAAAATAATTAGAAGTAATAGTATAGTAGCAGTTTGTAATCATTACAAAATAAGATACAAGTAAACAAAATAATAATCTATGTTTTGCTTTATCCCGACCAATCATTTCTCCCGAAAACTCTTGCTGCCAGAGAAGGAATCAAATCTTTATCTCCTAATCATTTACCTGTCATTTCTCATCTTTACAGTCAGTCAGACCCGGATCGTTTGTTATGTCCCATCAGGGCACTTAGATGTTACATGGCTTGTACCATACCATTTTGGTGCCCTAGGAACCCGGAAGTTATTCATTGAAATCCTGCAGTGTCCAGGGATTTATCACCCATTACTCTAACCAGGTGATTTCGGAAGTTGATTCATATAGCCCATTTGGGCTTATCTGTTAACAATCACAATATGCTCCACGTCACCTCTCACCAGATTCGGCATCTATCAGTGTTCTCTGAAGGACATTTTGTGGGCCAGAATGTGGACTTCTCCTGACACTTTCATATCTCATTACCTTCATGATCTGGCAGTTTCCTCTTTGGTGGGATTTTGTCTTCCCCCTGTGGCTGCATTGACTACCTCTGCTAGATTTTAACAAGGAGGCTAGTTACTTTTTTACCTGACTTGCAGTTTTTTGTTGTTTTTTTTCTAGGGTCCCTCTTTATTTCTTTTGGATCCCATTCAGTGGTGAGTGTTGGTCAGTCAGGTATGCTTGTATTTTTAATTCCACACTAGCAACCTTTATATCGGTTCTTGGTTGCAATGGGCTCTGTCGAGATGACATGTTCCATAAGACCATCTGGATGCTATTTTATATCAAAACAATATTCAATGGACCGCTACCCATGAACTATCATGAGTAAAGTTAAAGAGGATTTTGCCAGTCGCTGCTGATCTTAGAGATGTATCAGTCAAGATCAGTTTACTTTTAAAAACTTAGAGAACGTGATTTACCTGTTGCACTGTCTCCAGAGACCTGTTCCTCAGGACTCCCTACTGCATGTCCCCCCTTACTTCTATTAGTGGACCTAGTGAGTCCTTATCACACCCAGTTCCCAGTCACTGGGGTGGTGGACAGAGGATTTTCCTTCAAAGTGTTGAGTTTTCTCCACTCTCGGAGAAGAGGGCAAAGTTGGGGATCCTCCTACCTGGGTCCCTGGAAGTTTTCCCAGTAGGAGCAGAACCAACCAATGTGGGAGCCTACTCATAAAACCTTATCACACCCAGTTCCCAGTCACTGGGGTGGTGGACAGAGGATTTTCCTTCAAAGTGTTGAGTTTTCTCCACTCTCGGAGAAGAGGGCAAAGTTGGGGATCCTCCTACCTGGGTCCCTGGAAGTTTTCCCAGTAGGAGCAGAACCAACCAGTGTGGGAGCCTACTCATAAAACCGGTCCAGATTTGATGTTAGCCATCTGGTGGGGGTGTGCTTGGACCCTCTTATGAACACTGTCAGGTCTTAGGTTGTTCATGCTGGGGGTCCACTATCTCTTCGAAAATCCGAACATGAAGCGGTCCAATCTTCAGCTCTTGGTGGGACAGTGTTCCACATCCTCTACATAATTCCATGGGTAAGTGGAATTCTCCTTGCCCACTTGGTTGGGAAGTGAAGTTGACTGTTTGTAAATCCAGACCAGATGAGTTCTGGACCTTGGGTGGAGTATGGCATATGATCCTGTCAATCCAGGCCTGGGATGTTGCCTTTGGACTTCTTCAGGCTGATCAGAAGGATTGTCCACTTTGGTGTTGCTTTCTTTCTTTCATAAATTTGGTTGTTCAAAATGCATCATTCCATATCTACTGGTGGGGATCCTATTACAAAGATATGTATATATTTGTGATCTAACTGCTCTGGCCTCCAACGTGGAATATGGGTACCATGACCCCTTAAATCCAGCCCCGAGTCATGGAACTTCAGCTGTGTGGTTGGGGCTGGCCCATCATACTTGTGTCATATTCCACCCTTTTCACTTTTCTGTAGTTCTGGGTGAAGAACATACCTGTTCTGGATGTAGTGCAGTGTTCCCCACTTTGGTACTGCTTCTCATGGTACACCTTTGTTCTCTGCAGACACTTTCTGTATGATCTATGCCCTCACCGGCCCCCTCCGCTTTTTCAATGTGGGATTATAGCTATGAGTGTCAGTGGAGGTACGTATGTTTTGGAAGTTATCATTTTCCTAATTTGAAAATGTATTTCCAAACATACTTACCTCTGCTGACACTCTCCCTCCCTTCCTGGTGTTAGTGACCAGGATGGGTAAGTCTCGAAAAAGTGATTTTAATGTCTGCATACAGTGCTTATATACAGTACCAGTACCTGCATAGAGGGCATATGAGGGCTGGTGTAAAGTTTTGCAAATTAGAAATTTCTGAGGGCAGTCAAGTGGGGTATATAAAGACTGGAGCAAGTGAACACAATGTTAGATGGCTTAGATGGAGATTGAGAAATAGCTATAAGTGTCAACGGAGGTTAGTATATTTGTAAATACTTTTCAGATTAGGAAAATGATAACTTTAAATACAAATTAAGAAAATACAAACTGAATGACTGTAACTATTGAAACAAATTTTTCAAGAGATATTTGTTATATAAGACACAAACATATCAGGGAAATGTAAGATAAGGCAAGTTTCTTTGTTTATATGACAGTATTGTTGTAACATTGTCTTCTTCATACCATTTATGATGTGTGTAATGAAAATTCATTGTTGGTCATCCCTACAACATGAATTTTACTGAATACTTGGATCAGTTAATTTATTGTTTTGTCTTCTATTAGTAAAGTGGACGATAACACTGAATATGACTCACTACAGCTTCGAGAAGCAGATGAAGAAGAGGAATACTTTGACTCTGAAGAACCAGAATTTATTGAATCATCATGAGTTATATATTATAAGATCTTATGAAAGTTTTACTTTATACCTGTAAATATAAAACTTGACTCATTCAGTTCTTGTTTCTTTAACATACAATGGTTATACTTGTACCACACCTGTATATAGAGAATTGTTTTTATTTGTCATTATCATTTTGCAAACTTTTTGTATTTTCCTTGTATATTACACAAAATAAAACAAACATGTATATGTTCAGTCAAATGAGAATAAATCATTATTTGTTATTTTTGTTCCTCAATCCATAATTTTGAATAAATCTTTATACACATCATTCTCTTATTTCAAGTAAGTGAAAAAAAAATACTTGTGCTCATTTCTCTAAATAAATCCTGAAATTCATAATAAAGGTATTTTAATTGTCAGAACACTGTATTGTCATTGTGATTATTGTATTCACGTGCAGATGGGTTGATATGTCTTCATCACTAGTGTAAACCAACAGTAGGTAAAGGAATAGAAGTAAAATATATATAGTATATGTTGATGATTCAGGCATAGCCGTGTTAGTAAGAATGTTTGAATATATGCCTGAGCTCTATTTTCAAGTTAGATAATGATTATTCTTATTTAGTTTTTATTGTAGTGTTTTATAGAATTGATAGGTACAAACATTTTTTCATATGCCACAAGCCTTGAACTCTCACGAACTCCATGATCTATGTGGTTTATTTGGGTCATGCATGTAAATTATATTGTGACAACCCTCCACTAATAGGAGTGAGACGCACCCTCCTGACGCACGTGTCTCCCTCTATTTGATTCTTCTGAACTACCACTTCTCATTAGGAAGTGATGGAGTGGAGATGTTTCTCAATTGTGCTCTTTTTATGTGTTGTTTTGATTTTTTTCTCCAAGTAGTGATTTACTTGATTTATTCATTCACTACAGTTAGGTTTCTGTAGTAGTTTGCCATAACTTACCTTAGTATATTGATATTTTTTTTCTCATTTTTGACTTCTTTACAGTTTAAGATGGTTATGCTTTCTCAGGTGTGTTCCATTTTCTCATCTTCACTTATTTCATATGATACTGTCCCTTTCTTGTTACGTGACACCTGTCTTTAGAGAACCTTGTTTTCTTTCCTTTCCCTGACATTTCATTTTTCAGTTGAAGGCTGGTTTTAGCATGTTTCATCCTCCATGGGTTTATGTTCATTATGTTTTGGCTTACCAGCATGGTGATCAACTCTTTCTCGACTCCCACTTTTGCCATTGTGGGGTTTGTCCTGGAAAATCTTATAGATTTCTCCCATGCCCAGTTTCCCACTTTTGTTTTACCCTTACAGCACTTGTCCAACATACACATCCTTTCTGAGGCATTCCACCAATCTCCTGAGGGGTTTCTGGAGGATTCTCTTTCCCTCATTACCTCCATGTTGGTGTGATTGTCCTATTCAGGCCTATCCCTTCACATGTGGTTTCATTGCTTATTGGGAACGATGCTGTCTTGTCACGGGTTCATCTACTTTCCACTTATCTTCATGACTTACAGATGGCTCCTTTTCTCCATCGGTTTGTTTTTAAAGGTTTTTCAGAATCACATGTGGAATCTGAGAGACCATTTTCGACCCTTTAGTCTTTGTTTGCTTGTTTGTCTCATTATGATTCAGTGATATGCATTCTCTTCATAATTGTTTCTTGTCCTGCAACCTCTCATCTTTTACCAATTCCTATCACTTGTGGTTCAAAATTTCACTGTGTGTCTCATTGCAGGGTTCATCATTGCCAGCAGTTCCAATGACTATCAGGTCTTTTCCTGTTCAGTGGGGACACGTTTGGCCAATTTTGTTCCACCTGTGGCAGGTATTCACTACCAATTCTTGGGTGATACAAGTTTTGTCAGAAGGACTTTTCCCCTGTTTCCTTCTCCCACCACCATTGTATCCTGTAACAATTTTCTTCCCATTAACTTGGGATCCTGCTACCAGTTTGCGTCTATCCGTGGTTGGGCAGACCCTTCTATCATAGAGATTTATCAAGCCTGACAGCCAGCATTCTCCAGGTTTTTACTCCAGGCATTTTGTTGTTCCCAAAACAAATCCAGGGGCTGGCATACTGTGATCCATCTGTCCTGCCTCAACCAATTTCTGGATCTTCCCCAATTTGCCATGGAGTCCTTTATCACACTCAGGTGGGTTTTTTTCTCCAGGACTGTGGATGACCATGGTAGATGCCTATCTCCATATTCCTATTTCTCATTGGTACAGATAATATTTTCAGTTTGTCCACTATGGGGTTGTGTATAAGTTTCACACCTAGCCTTTTGGGGTTGATTCAGCACTGTATGTGTTTTATTGGGTGATCAAGGCCTTTGCCCAACTTATGCTTGCTCAAGGGTTGTGTTTACACCACTAGATGGTTGACTGGCTCCTGTTAGCTCATTCCAAATTGGAGTCTTCTCAACATACACATCTGTTGCTGATAGATGCAGCACATGTTGGTTGGATTCTCAAGTTGAAAAAGTCTTTACTTTTGCCTACCAAATATCTTGTCCACTTGGGTGTATTTTTTCAACACTCACCTCATTTGGGCCCAAACTTCTCTACTTCGTCTCTGTTTGATCCAACTTTCAGTTCTCCATGCACTTCCTGCTCCCTTTGTTTCTGCACATGAGGTTCTGTCACTTTTTGGGACTTGGGTTTCTCTGGAAGCCATTATTCCTTTGGGTTAGACACATATGCTTTCTTTTCAGTGGACTCCGTTGGACTTTTTCTCGGGATTTATTTGACTCCCAAAATACCCTTCCTTTTTTCCTTATTGACAATCTGCATTGTGGTTGAACAAGGAAAACACAATACAGGGAGTACTGCTTCTTCCACCTTGTTTAGATTTGCATCTTCTCACAGATGTTTCTCTCCAAGGTTGGGGAGCATGAGTACATCAGCAGGAGGTTTCTGAACAATGGTCTCAAAATGTCTTACCATATCAATGTCTAGAAGCTTCTGGATGTATGACATGCTTTGATTCATTTTTTTCCTCTGGTACTGAACTGACACGTCATGCCCCATTCCGACAATTCCACCATTGTGGCCTATATCAATCACTAAGGGGGCACTCTTTCCTGTTTCCTTTGTGGTCGAAATTTAGAACTTCCTTTATTGGGCCCACACACTGTGGATAAGTCTCCTTGCATGTAATGTTCTGGGAGCTTTTCACCATGTGGTGGATCATTTTTCAAGACTTGACCAGGTTTATCTTACAGAGTGGTCTCTCAACCCACAGGTTTTCAAATGGCTATGCAATCAATGGAGTACTCCTCATCTGTATGCTTTTGCCACTTTAATCCAACACCAAGTTACCTCTTTTTTTTGGTCTCTGGTTCCTCAGGCCCTGACAGTGGATGTTCTCTGTTGGGAGTGGACCAACCAGTACCCTCTGCATTCCTTCTGGTTTTGTAGACCTCCTCATCATGCAATTCTTCAGGATTGTAATGTCAACATTGTTCTTCATTGTCTTCCACTCCTTCTGTTTGAATTTTGTCCTCTTATTCCATGTTTCACCTATCCATTCAGACTTATTCCTACTCATTTTTGTCTATGGGGATCATTGGCCTGACATATTTGCCATTGACGTTTCACATACTTTTTCCATTTCATATATGTTTGCTTTATTCGGATCGATCTTTCTTACCCTAAAGTTCAGCAGCTCGTGAAGGACATTCTTCATTCTTGCCAATTTCACTTCCATTGATTTCCCACCTTTATTTCTGATCTTGTCTGGTTATAATTCTATTTTCAGTATGTGTTCTTTGCTGTTTAGTGGTTTCTGTTCCTACTTTTTCATTGCCTGACGCCATTCATTTGTACGTTACCTTTCTCCTTCTACCCTTCCAAGTTTTCCAGAATTCTGTTCCAGGTGTTGTCGCATCAGATCAGGCATCTTATTTTACTCCTGGTCTCTCACCTCTGTTGTCCATTGGAGAAAATTCTTCAGTCAGGCATGTGAACTACAGCTCATACGTTCATCTCCCACTATCTTAATTAGGTAGCTGTTTCTTCCTTATCGGGATACTTCCTTCAGCCTGTTATCATTCTTCAAACTTCAGTGTGGCTGTGACTGGGTAAGTTATCTTTTCTATATTTATTTTTCTTCCAGTGTCATGTCCCATTTAGGATTAGGATCCTGCTCAGTGGCAAGCATTACCTGTTCAGATATGCTTCCTATTTCTCAAATCCACACTGTACAGCAAAGATGTATAACCATTGTGAATAATGCACACTGTTAAGATGGGATGTTCCACAAGATCACTAGTAGGTTTTCCTTGCAATATATTTGCTTCATAAATATGCCTGTTCTGGATGGTAATAGCCCATGAACTTACATGGGTAAATCAGAAGGGGATAGCTGCTCATCCCTGTCGTTCCTTCAATTGAATAAATCAGGGATGGTCTGCTTTTCATAATGGGTTTTTTGTGGTTACCTGTCTATGGTGTAGACGTTCCTGTGGACTCTCCACTGCACTTTGTCCCCTCCTTGTTCTTCTCGTGGAGTATGGGAGTCCTTGCCACTTTCCAGTTCTGAGCCATTGGAGTGGTGGACCATGGAGGAGTCCTCCTGAATGTGATTGCTTCCATTCAGTTGAGAGTACGGCAGTGGTGTTCTGCTGGTGTAGATGGCATTTGATTCTCCAATCATGCACTCCATCTCCATGCAGCAGGTCCCAGAGGTTGATGTTGCACCCAGCTTCTGTGTGGTTCTACTTGGAGGGTGCAGTTGCTTATATTTAAAGGTGTGATCCACTTCTGTGTGGTGAGACCTGGATATTGCAATTGTGCTCCACCCTATTGTTCAGTTCTATTTGAAGGATGACGTTGCTTCAGAGACATTGCAGTTCATCTTTTCGATTGGGATCCCTCATCCTTCTGTCACATGGATGTCAGTTCCCAGTGAGTGATTTTGGATTTTAGCTGGACCAATCAACATAAATCTTCACACGTGTTGGTTGTGTTCCTCTTCCTCTGTCAATTTGCCTAATGATCTCCACCTCCATGCAGTGGATTCTGGAGGTTGATGTTGCACCCAACTTCTGTGCAGTTCTATCTGGAGGGTGAGGTTGTTATATATTTTTAGAGGCAATCCACTTCCGTGCAGTGGGCCTCAGGGTGGCATTGCACTCTGGCTTCAGTGCAGTCCTATCTGGAGGATAATGTTGATTGGTTCTCCTTCTTAGGGAGTTGTCTGAGGCTGATGTTGCACAGTGGGGT